CCCACGGAGGGGTAAGGAAATTTAACTTCTTCAGCAGGAAAGCCCCAGACTGCGAGGCAGGCAGAGGAAGGGGACCCTGGAGCTCCTGGTCCCCGAAAGCCGTGGGCCTCACGAGCTGCCTTGCTGTGGGACGTGTGCGGCCACGAGGCCCCCTTTTTGCTCCCCAAAGGGGACATTGGCACAGGACCACTCTGGGGACGGTGGGCAGGCTGGAGCGCGGGCAGTGGCAAAGAGGTCCCGGCCAGTCTGGGCGCCTCAGGCAGGCAGCCTCCTGGCTGTCTGTGGGGTGGTATGGGGTGGGAGTGCTGTGGGGCTCGCAGAATGGACTGGGTCTCCTTAGCTGAGCTCCGAGACCCCGGGGTGGCGAGAGGCGTGGTGATGATGGTGGGAGCCCAGGCACGTGGGTCCACACCTGAGCCTAGCACACAGTCTGAGCTGGCCGGCAGTTTCCCATCTCACACCCTCGCCCCCTCTCCCACCCGTGGCCCTCACCCTCTTGACTCCTCTGACAGCCCTGGGGGCACCCAGAGCTCGCTTCCCTTGGGTCCCCCTGCTCTGGCACCCCGGAGAGCCACAGTGGTTGTCTGCCCTGGGCCCCAGGGACCCCCACCCACAGGGACACAGTGGGGAGTGCCTTTTCCCAGACTGGGAGGGGCTGGCTGGGGATAGGTGCTGCCTTCCAGGAACAAAGCTGTCCCTACCGGCCTTTGAAGAAAGCCACGTAGAAGATGGGGGTGTAGGAATTGACAAACTTGAGCAGGAACGCCTTGAAGATGAGCCTCTCCTCGAAGCTCTTCTCTGTCTTTGGGACCTCTAGGAGGAGGGAGGAGAAAAACATCCATGCTGATGGGGAACCAGCAACGGGCGGCTCCCGGCGTCGCAGGGGGCCAGGCGCTGCTCATGACTTGGCACGCTGTTCTGGACTGAACTGTAGCCCCTCAAAACGTGTGCTGAAAACCTAACCCCCGTACCTGTGAATACGACCTTTGGAAATAGGGCTTTTCTTTTGTTATGTTAATGAGGAGGGTGGGTCCTCCACCTAATCTGTCCTGAGTTATAAAACCAGTAGAACAGACACAGACTCGCACAGAGGAAGAGGAAGACAGGAAGGAGACAGGACTGCGGGCAGCTACTCGACTAGTCGTTGGGACAGACGCGCCGCGCCCCGAATTCCATCTTCCAGCCTCGTGAACTGAGAGATGATAGATGTCTGTTCTTCACAGCCACCCACCTGTGGTGTTTGTGTTACGGCAGCTCTAGGTGGTGAAACACACCATTAGTTCATTTAGCTCTCCCTAATGACTGCCGGGAGATAGCTCTCACCTTCCTCTTTTAAACCACAAACCAAACCCATTGCTGTCGAGTCAATCCGGACTCCTAGCGACCCTAGAGGACAGAGTAGAACTGCCCCATAGGGTTTCCAAGGCTGTAAGTTTTACAGAAGGAGACTGCTACCTCTTTCCCCCACAGAGCAGCTGGTGCGTTCCAACCGCTGACCTTTCGGTTAGCAGCCGAGCACTTAACCACTTCGTCACCAAGGCTTCTTTTTACTTCATTTAGCTCTCGCTAATGGCTGCTGGGAAACCCTGGTGGCATAGCGGTTAAGAGCTACGGCTGCTAACCAAAAGGTCGGCAGTTCGAATCCACCAGGCACTCCTTGGAAACGCTATGGGGCAGTTCTGCTCTGTCCTATAGGGTCGCTGTGAGTCGGAATCGACTCGCCGGCAGTGGGTTTAGTGGAATGGCTGCGGGGAGATGGTGTCATGGTCCTCGCTTAGCGACAAGAAAATGGAGGCTCGAGAAGTTAGGGAGCGGCCGAGGCCCCACAGCCACAGGAAGTTGCCTCGGGCCGCCTGATTCTACGGCCCTGGACGGCCTGCAGTGGTGTCACCCGGGACGTGGACACTCACCAATCTTTGTGAGCCACCGCGCTATGCAGCCATAGACCTCGTCCAGCAGGATGATGACCACCAGGTTGATGATGACCGCGGTGGCCGTGACCGTGACACGGATGTTGGACCGCACGGAGGGTGAGGAGTTCATGGCCAAGGCGGCAGCCGTAGAGATTCGGTAGATGATGACCCCAAGGACAATAGCGAAGGTCACGGCAATCTGCGGGGAGAAGGGGACATGCTCTTGGCCGGGAGCCCACTGTGGCGGCCCACTGGGGGGGTGAGGGAGCAAGGGCACTGGACCACGGGGGTCTTACTGGACCATCTCCCTCCTGCCCCTCCACCTAGCTCTCCCACCACCCTCCAGCTCTCCAGCCCAGAGCAGACGTCCTCAAAGCAAGGTTGACTTCTTCTAGGGATCAGAAAACTGACATTTCTTGGACCAGTCCAGCTGACCTTGAGTGGACTCTGCCTCATGACACTGCCACGTGTGTCAGAGTAGAACTGGGCTCCATAGGGTTTTCTTTTCTTTTCTTTTTTAAGTTATTGATTTTTACTGTTGTTGAGAATATACACAGCAGAACATACACCAATTCAACAGTGTCTGCATGTACAATTCAATGACACAGATTACATTCTTCGAGTTGTGCAGCTGTTCTCACCCTCCTTTTCTGAGTTGTTCTTCCCATTGACATAAACTCACTGCCCCCGAAGCGTCCTGTCTAATCTTTCAAGTTGCCGTTGTCAATTTGATCCCACATAGATGGTCCTTAAAAGAGCATAAGGTTCAAGGCAGACTTCTTTACTAGTGAAGTTAAACTATTATTTGGTTTTAAGAAGACTTCAGGGAATATTTTTGGTTTAAGGTTTAAAGATGATCTCAGGACAATAGTTTCAGGGGTTCATCCAGCCTCCATAGCTTGAGAATGTCTGGATTCCATGAGAATTTGAACTTCTGTTCTGCATTTTCCCCCTTTTGATCAAAAATTCTCCTATAGAATCTTTGATCAAAATGTTCAGTAATGGTAGCCGGGCACCGCCCAGTTCTTCTGGCTCGTAGCAAAGAAGGCAGTTGTTTATGGAGGCAATTAGCCACACATTCCATATCCCGCTCTTATTCCTGACTCTTCTTCTTCCTCTGTTGCTCCAGGCAAATACAGACTAATTGTTGTACGTTGGATGGCTGTTTGCAAGCTTTTAAAACCCTGGATACTAGCTCCATAGGATTTTCAATGACTGATTTTTCAGAAGTAGATTGCCAGGCCTTTCCTCGAAGGCACCTCTGGCTGGACTCAAACTGGCAGTCTTTCAGTTAGCAGCCAAGCGAGTTAACTGTTTGCACCACTCAGGGATTCCGGCTTTTCTTGAGCACACACCAAATGCCAGGTGTTGAACGTGCCTCCTCACCGTAAACACGAGTAAAGTGCCATTTCTACTGCACAGAAGAGCAGGCGGAAGTTCAGAGGCTAGGTAACCAGGCCAGGCCCTCCAGCTGACGAGCTGGGATTTATCAGATGGACTGCCTGGAATTTAGGATCTTTCTGCCGCCCAGCACGGTCTTCCCTCCCACCCACAGCTGCTGAGCTCAGCCCAGTGACCGTCCTGGCTTGTCCTGTAGCAGCCTGACCACCTGGAACCTGGGCTTCTCACCCCAACCTTGGGGTAGCCTGGAGTGGAAGCAGGCCCTCGGATGGAGTGCTGGGGCTGGGGTACCACACCTTGCAGCCACTTCTCCCCCACTCCCCCATAAAACAAAAAAACCCATTGCCACCGAGTCAGCCCTGACTCATGGAGGCCCCATGTGACAGTGCAGAAAGGTGCTCCGTAGGGTTTTCTTGGCTGTAATCTTTATGGAAGCAGATTGTCAGGCCTTTCCTTTGAAGTGTGGCGGGGTGGGTTTGAGCCGCAAACTTTTAGGTTAGTAGACAAGGGCAAACCCTTTGCCCCCCCCAGGGGACCCTGTTAAGGGAGGCAAGATGGGTGTGGGTGGCCCAATCCCACGAGGGCATTGCTGCGGGCCTGCCTGGGAGAGATGGGTGGGTCCTGGAGCCTCCAACCTGGCGGCCAGCTGGTCTCCGAGAACAAGCCCCTCATCTTGCCAAACCCACTGCTGGGCTGGACCGCTCCATAAGCCTCAGGCGGGTGGTTCCCCGAGAGTCTGGGGTGGGGCGCTGGCTGCAGTGACGAGCTTGTTCCATGTAGAACTAATGACCCATCTGTCTGTGCTCTCTTTCCTTTTCCTCAAAGGCTCTAATGTAACTGGGAAAATCGGGCCCCTGCCCTGCCCTGCCCTGCCCTGCCCTGCCCTGCCCTGCGCTGCCCTGGGGGGTATATCCTTTGCAAATCCTCCTGTCTGAGAACTCACCGAGCAGGAAGGCCAAAATTGAAACCTGTGCCGTGGAGTCGATTCTGACTTGTGGCGACCCCAGGTGTTATAGAGCAGAACTGCTCCATAGGATTTTCTTGGCTGTAATCTTTACAGAAAGGAGCAGCGGTGGTGAAATGGTTAAAGTGCTTGGCTGCTAAACGAAAGGTCAGCAGTTCAAAGCCACCATCGGCTCCGCAAGAGAAATGACCTGGTGATCTGCCTCCGTACAGACTTACAGCCTTGGAAACTCTATGGGGCAGTTCTGCTCTGTCCTATAGGGTGCTATGGGTCGGGATAGACTCCACGGCACACAAGAACAACAATGATCTTTACGGAAGCAGATTGCCAGGCCTTTCTTCTACGGTACCACTGGGTGGGTATGAACTGCCCACCTTTAGGTTAGCCGTTGAGCACAAACGTTTGCACCACCTGGGTGGTTAAACAGGAGATGGAGGGCAGAGCAGGTGTTCACACGGATGTCGACCGCACACGGCTGCGTGCACATTCCCTGCTGTCTAGTGGCTTGGGACATCGCCTGTCGACTCCCACGTGGGGGTGCAGAGGGCCAGCTCTGTCCCTGCTAGGACGGTCCTGGGAGGGACAGGGCCGTACTGTGTCTCCAGGGCTGGTCTGCCCGTCCCAGAGCGAGACTGTAGCGGCCTCAGAAACCTCCCAAGAAACTCTCATTTTAAACCCTGCCCCACTAACCCTGGCTTCTGCAGACGTCTGTGGTGACTAACCCGTGGCCATACCCACACAGGAAGGAGCCTGCAGCCCACACACCACGCCTACCCCGAGCATCCTGGAGACTGCCCGCTGGGCGGCCGAGACGCCCCACCCCCAGCTGTGTTCTCCTCGAAAAATCCCCGGCTCCCGCCTAGTGCCTCCCTCTCTCCCTGGGAAGGCCCCCCGCCTGGCCTGGAGACCTGGAGACCCCTCCGGGCCCGCGTGGAGGAGTTGACTGACAGGGTAACTCAGCAAGAAGCCCTCTACCTGGCCAGAGCCTGCACCGGCCATCCTAAAACCTGTCTCCCCTCCTGGGACAGAGCGCCAGGGTCAGGGTGGTCACCTCACCCCAGAGTCTTCAGCATGGCGCACACAGGTGCTCACTAAATGCGTTGTTCAGTGAGCCTCCTGCGTGGGCGAGACAGCGTGTCTGTGGACCGTCAGCCCCATGGCGTGGTTTGTTTGTGGCAGGAGCTGACCGAGACATCCAGGGCAGGATGTGAGGGCCAGCCTGATGCAGTGAAGATCGCTCGTTCCACTCAGCATAAGGCGCCCTGGTGGTACAATGGTTAAAAGCTCGGTTGCTTTAACCAAAAGGTTGGCAGTTAGAATCCACCCAGCTGCTCCATGGGAGAAAGACCTGGTGATCTCCTCCTGTAAAGACTATTGTTGTTGGATGGCGTTGGGTCGATTATGACTCATAGAGCCCCTACGTACAACAATGAAACCCTGCCCGGTCCTGCGCCATCCTCACAGTTGTTGCCATGTTTGAGCCCATTGTTGCAGCCACTGTGTCAGTCCATCTTGTTGAGGGTCTTCCTCTTTCTCACTGACCCTCTACCAAGCATGATGTCCTTCTCCACGGACTGGTCCCTCCTGATAATATGTCCAAAGTATGTGAGATGAATTCTCGCCATCCTCCCTTCTAAGGAGCATTCTGGCTGTACTTCTTCCAAGATGGATTTGTTTGTTCTTCTAGCAGTCCATGGTATAGTCAATATTCCTTGCCAACACCATAATTCAAAGACATCAATTCTTCTTTGGTCTTTCTTATTCATTGTCCAGCTTTCACATGCATATGAAGAGATTGAAAACACCGTGGCTTGGGCAGGCGCACCTTCGTCCTCAAAGTGACATCTTTGCTTCTTAACCCTTTAAAGAGGTCTTTTGCAGCAGATTTGCCCAATGCAATGCGTCTTTTGATTTCTTGACTGCTGCTTCCACGGGTGTTGACTGCAGATTCAAGTAAAATGAAATCTTGACAACTTCAGTCTCTCTCCGTTGATCATGATGTTGCTTATTGGTCCAGTCATGAGGATTTTTGTTTTCTTTGTGTTGAGGTGTAATCCATGCTGAAGGCTGGGGTCTCTGCTCTTCATCAGTAAGTGTTTCAAGTCCTCTTCGCAACCTGTAAAGATTACAGCCTAGAAAATCCTGTGGGGCAGTTCTACTCTGTTACATGGGGTCTCTGTGGGTCGGAATTGATTTGATAGCACACAGCGACGACAAGAAAGTCATCACCGAGGCTTCAGCCCATTTGTTCAAAGCCAGCTGCGCCAACAAGCCCGAGTTACAGACCTCTCCGTCCCCTGAGCAGCACCGTCGCGATTCTTGTCATCTCTGTGCGTTCCTCATTTCACGGTTTTCTTTAAAACTCCTCAGTTTCGTCTTAAATAATGTTGTTGTTGTCAGCTGCTGTTGAGTCAGCCCCCGATTCATGGGGACCCCACGCACAATGGAACAAAATGCTGCCAGCCCTGTGCTATCTCCGTGGTCAGTTGTGAATCAGACCCTCGTGATCCGTAGGGTTTTCACTGGCTGACTTTTGGAATTAGATTGCCAGGCCTTTCTTCCTAGTCTTAGTCTGGAAGCTCTGCTGGAACCTGTTCAGCATCACAGCAACACACAAGCCTCCAGTGACAGATGGGTGGTGGCTGCGCCTGAGGTGCGTTGGCTCGGAATCGAACTCAGGTCTCCCTCGTGGACAGTGAGAATTGTACCACTGAACCATCATTGCCCATGTCTTCAACTATAAACTCACTGCCGTCGAGTTGATTCCGACTCACAGCAATCCTAGAAGACAAGAGTAGAACTGCCCCATAGGATTTCCAAGGAGCGGCTGGTGGATTTGAACTGCCCACCTTCTGGTTAGCAGCTGAGCTCTTAACCACGGCGCCACCAGGGCCTAAATAATACTACCTGGGAAATCTCGGTTTGAATTACTAGCTGTGCTTTTCGAATACATATTTAAACAATTTTGCAGCTCTCAAAATAAGAGGTGTGTATCAGGGACCACCTGGAATCATCTCAGGTACACCCAGGGTACGTGGAGTCCCTGTGACGTATCCGCGGAGCTCCGGCCCCTTCCTGTGCACAATTTAGGGGAGCAGTGGTGAGATCTTCCCTTCGACAGTGCCCTCGCACCCCGGGCCTCCCTGGGGGTCTCCGCCGGTCTCCTTCCCCGTGTTTGCCTCTGGGGCTTACCATGAAGATGATGGAGACCAGGCTGGTGAAGTAGGCTGGGAAGCGGTCTCGCCAGGTCAGCTTCACCTTGTCCGTCTGCAACATGGAACAATGTCTGGTCATTCCTGGGGACCGTCGCGGTGGGACAGAGCCTGCGTGCGTATGGATGTGCGTACAACGTGGAAAACAAACAAAGAATGTCTGCAGGTGATGAGCGAATGACGTGTAGTCGCATTTAAGGAGGTTTTAGGGTTGTATGGCCCCCTAGTCCTAGAAATAGCAATCCTTTAAAAATGGGTCAGTCCCGTGTTACGGGGCAATAATAGTGCCAAACACTTTCCTAGCAGACCCACGCCCGGGGATACTGTGCGTGTAGGATCCATTTCTTAAGCTGCAAGTTCCACCTCTGAGATGAGGAGATCTAAAGTGTTTTGCCATTCTCCACCCAGACCATCATAATTCTTTTTCCTCTCCAGAGCAAGCTAGAACAAGCGCCTAGCATTGCAAGTAAAAATGTTGCTTGCTGCATAGCAACGCTGGACTGGGGTTACCCCCTGGCCCGAGCGCTCTCGGGGCTCGAGAAGTGCCTGGCCTGGAGAAGTCTTAGATAGAAGCTTATCACTAACCTGGGGTGTTTCAAGAGTGAGGGGTGGATTGGATTTTTAAAATAGAAAAATGCACGTATGAGGTCGCAAACATGCACGGCCGCGTCACAGCGCAAGCCACTGACTCCGGGGCAGGCGGCATGCGTGGTAACGAGGGGACAGGCAGGCAGCGGTGACAAGCACGTTCCACAAGTGCCAAATAAAGCCAGCGCGACCCCACACACATCCACCCCGGCCATGCAGTGACGTTCCCCACACACTTCCCAGCTCTTTGGGTGCTGATGGAAGGCAAAGGAACACGGGTGTGAATGTTAAAAATAAAAATAAAACAACAGTCAGAGTTTGTTGAAGAGAAACACAATGGACTCTGATCGTCTACAAAAAAGTCAAGACTTGAGTTGCCCCGAAATGGAAAAGTACCAATTTCACACCCGCCATGGCGGTCTTAACCCTCTGCTTCCATTTGTTAGTTGACTCCTCTGGAATATGGCGGCGCTTCTGAGGGCGGGTGGAGGAACGAGAGAGGACCGTGCGATGCAGCGTTAGGAGGCGCCGGGGGACCGTGGGGCCCCGCCGGCCGTCACCCCCTTGGCAGCCAGCCGGTCCCTCGGCGAGCTCACTGCCAAGGCGGAGTCAGGCTCTGGGGACTTTAAACAAAGCAAAGAGAGCAGACCCCCAAATTCTACAAGAAAGTTTGCAACAAAGGTAATGGAAATGGGAGATGAAGGTTTTTGAAACAGAGACTCAAGGAAGGCTCTGGAATGCCCATCCCACCACACGGTGGCTACAATTTCAAGGATAGGTATTATGTGAAGACACCGATGATTCAGGGGCATTTTACAACAAGGTGAAGGAAGCCACGCCCAGAAGCACAGGTGGATCAGACGATTCAATGGCGGATCAGTTCAGAAACC